CTTTCTGGCCTGCAAGCTAGATGGATGCCCAGACACCAGGATCAAGCCATGGGGCCTTGAATCACCCTCTTCCTGCCTGGACTATTGTCATTGGGCCTCAAGGGCCTGGTGCTGCCCTCACAGGCCCAGATTGGGTCCCAGGGGCCTGGCACTGCCTCTTTCCAGCCCTATGTGCCTAGACTGGGTGCCTGATCCAGCATGCTGGGCCTGGGGCTCTCCATGGGTCTAGAAATTTGCTATTAGGAGAGTGGTGGCACCATTCCCTCAATGCCAAATTTGCAGATGTGTGGGGAGCCCCACAGGCCACATGACGTGGTGCAGCATGCTGGATTGAGCACCTCTGAACTATAGAGGCTGTTCTTGCTGTTTTGACCTTCCAGCTATTTCCTCTTCAATATGGTTTTAACACCTGTTAAGTTATCAGCTATCTCTAAGCTAAATCAAAAAGCCTTTTCATCACCCTTACTGTTTTCAAACATAGTTGAGGAGATCCTACTAAAGATGACTTACCTTTTTGACATTTTAGAGCCTTTTCAGATCTCTGTAGAAGTTTGGTTTTGGCTGGCTCTTTCCTATGCAACTTCATCACTGTTTATAACGGCTTTTTCCACCTTAGTGCCAAGTTTCAAATTCACCTCTAAGTTTGTTTGTTTTAATTTGTGGCAGGGTACTTAAAAAGTAAGGCCCCCTCTTCTCCCTCAAACTGATGTAATCTGCCACATCCTTGAACAAACTTGTTGCTGTTTTTGGCTGGCCTGCAGACTTTTGATCACCAACTTATTAGTATGGGAATAGAAAGTCAAGGGTTTATTGGGTTAAAATAAAAGCTCTAAAGAGCAGCTGGTGAACTGGTTCTTACAAATGCCTTGCTGTAAGGACTTGATGTGTTATTGACTCTGTTTACGACTACGCTAGGAAATCTGTAGGAAAGAATTTATCTTAACGTTACCAATGTCCATGCAGAGAGGACCAAGTGAATTTCCGTGGTTTCATGAGGACTCTGGCCCATTTCCGACCTATTGAAGACAATGAAAAGAGCAAAGACCAGAATGGACCAGAACCCCTCAACAGCCGGAGTAACAAGCTGCACTGTAAGAAACTTTCAGATTCTTCTATCTGGGTATTTACTATTCCTTGGATCCATCTTTCTGCTTCTTTGTAAAATAAAGTTGTTGGTTTTTATTTCTTTTTCTTTATGATTGGGGAGGGAGGGGAAGTATCCTCCAACACTTATTTCTGTATGCCATTCCATAAACACTTGCCAGGTCAGTTTAGGCGTACTGAAATTGTGTTAACCAAAGCTGCTCACAGACGTACCAGAAGCTAGTAGAACATGTTGAAACTCTGTTTCATGTTTAACACTAGAATTTTTCTAGCGGACTGCAGACTTGAGGCTTAAACATGAGGCATGCTGATGTAAATAGGGAGTGGACACATGACTTACCACTCTGCAGTCCTGTAACTGGAATCCTATGGAGCAGAAAAGCAAATAGTGTAGTTCTACCCTGATCTTAATGTTGCATAGCCCATTTATCTAGAGCTACCCCCAAGAGAGGTATTTCCTGCTCTCCTACCACCTTGTGGTCAGGCTTTGTAATAGTGTGTGACTAACCCCATAAAACAGCTCATCTGTCTACTCGGGATACTGCTGTTACACCAGGATTCACAATTGATATAACTGACACTGATGTAAATGCCTGTGTAAGGGTCTTACAATGAAGTTGGACCGACTTAAGCACTTTTCTTAGCCTCTCATGGTATTGGAACAGTTCCTAAGAGCTACCTCCTGGATGCAGAGCAATGCTCCAGCTAAAAATGGATTTTTCCTGTGAATGTGGTATCTTGTAGCTTTGCTTCACATCTCTAAAGAACTACTCTCTTGTTCATGATTGTTCCTCCATTTTGGTTTTAGCACATCAGAGCAGGAAATGGGTACCTGCTTAGTACAGGGATGACCAACCTGCAGCACAGGTGCCACAAATGGCACAGGCAGCCTTTCTGTGGCACACAGCAGATGGGGGAAGGGACAGGGGACAGCCCAGTGGCAGATAGGACAGGGAGCAGAAAGTAGAGCATCGGACCAGGCTAGAAGAACAGGGCAGGAAACAAAGATTAAAGAGCAGAAAGTATCAGTTTGAGTAAGGGAAAGTCAAAGGGATCAGAGTGGTACTTGGGGAGGGTGTGGAGCTAATTTGACATGCCTGCCAAAATGTTTGGCTCACTGGCTTAGTGCATGGGAGTAATCTGTCTTCTAATAACTACTTCAGTCAACAGTTTACTTTAACCATATATATTTAAGTAGAAGGATGGCTAAACCCAGGATTTCAGAGCTAGGAAGAAACTCTTGAAAGTGCAATGCAGTGTGTAATAATTCTTTATGGAGGTTCTTAGGTTTTTCTATAAATCCTAGTGCAGCTTACTCTCAGACACTCAGTACTTGAGTAGATAAGCAGCCAGCATGCAATTTCAAAAGGCATAGTTAAGTGCCTTGGCACAATGTTTTCTATTTGAAGATTTCAATATTTTGAAATTGGTGCATGACAAGAAAAACTACTAGTTGTCAGGTGAACATGTTATTAAAAATGTTACTAAAATGTATTATAAAAATGTTAGACTGTAAATTGATGTTGTAGGGTTACTTTTACCAAATGCTGCATTGCTGCCAACTGTAAGATGGGTATATTTAGTGATTGTGTAAACCTGTAAGTTTGTGTGCAAGTAGGAAAAGAAAATGGGAGCATTCAAATTCAGCTGACTAACTCTACTTCCCTCCAGTTGCTTTCAGATTATATGATCTGGATAAAGATGACAAGATTTCCCGGGATGAGCTTCTTCAGGTATATAACACTGCAGGCTATAGCTAGACTTCAGATGAGTGAGTTTGTGTTAAGATGTCCTGGTTTGTAACACTGGCCTCCATGGGGTGAGAGAGAAAATCATTTCTTGCATGCAAGGACTCTCTAGAAAAATTTGCTAATGCAATTGCAGATAAGGCTACTGGAATCGGAGAACCAGAGTGCCCTTCATAAAGAAGATGTGAACAGCCTGCCTAGGCACTCAGCTGAATGCGGTTTAATGGGTCAGAAGCAGCCCACAGCTAGTGTCTGGTTATTTCTACATCTCCATTAGAAACTGGTCTGGCTTCAACTGCTTGCAGTGTCTAATTAACCACTTATCACAACATCTCTTTCCATTTAAAATTTAAAAAAAACTTTTCATCCTCCATTGAAGGAGTGTTATAATCCATCAGAATAGACATTTGATTCAGAAGTTCAACCAGAGCATTACGTTAATATGTTACATTATGTATGGGGGGTGCGGTTTACCATGCTAGAACAAATGCAGCTTGTCTCCAAAAAGCCTGCATTCTGATGTAGAGATTTGTCAAGGGTCTGTTGTTTTTTTTTTTAAGGTAGGAGCTCATCTGATCCCTCCTTTCCTGCTGGAATGAGGTTCCCGCACCAATCTGGGCGGAAAGCAATTGGAAGTCATTACAGTAACATGGATTTATATTAACAGTTGCATGCTGTTAATTCTGCAAAGTAGACATAGTAGTTTGTGGTTACAGTGCAGGGTAAGAGAGAATTTGGGTAGCTACCCACTTCCCTCTTCCTCTTGATAAGGTACTTCTGGTGCTGCAGAGAAGGATATTGACTAGTAAGTTTTAACTGTAGAGCTGGAACGTGTAAGGCTTCAAGAGTCTATATAAAACTCTCAAAACAGTGGTGGAAAAAAAACCAAGCAATTTCCAATCTTATGGAAAAGTGGCTGAAACTACCAGGTCAGACATCCTGAGAATCTTCCTTGACAGCTCCTTGGAAATGGAAATCTTTTGAATTCCACAGTCTCTTGGGGCTGTGGAAGAATCATGTACTTTTGCATTAAAGGTAAACTTTGAAAGCGTCTTTGTGCATCCTTCTATTAACAAAGCGCTTTTGGACAGCAAATAGACCTGCAAGATGCAAGGTATCTTGGGCATGAAAGTCATTTTCCACAAAGTGACCATCTTTCCAGGTTCTGCCTTTAAGAATTGTTTCTTGAATGGTACTTTGAGCATTGTACAAAACTTATGAACATTCTGAAAGCTTCTTGAATGTTCCCATATAATATTTTATAATGTCTCTATCTTGTAGGTGTTACGGATGATGGTTGGTGTAAACATTTCAGATGAACAGCTGGGCAGTATTGCTGATAGAACAATCCAAGAGGCTGATCAAGATGGAGATAGTGCCATCTCCTTTGCAGAGTTTGTCAAGGTTGGGAAACCTCTATAATAACATGAAATGAAACATGATAATCACTGAGCAGTTGCCTAAATAGATTAGGAAATGGGAGGGTAAAAGTACTGCCTTCCCTTTTGGTACTTTGTCACAGGCCTTTCAGTATCTGTGATATCTCTCCATGCCCACTTCTTGCAGCAGGACACAGATGACACCCTCCTTTCATAACATGTAATTATGAATATGTAATTTTTCATGATTAGATGGCTTGTCTGTTCCACTACTTCCATATCAAGTATGCTGCTGAAAGGAAACTTTTGAGCAACAGGTCTGTGACAGGGAGTTAAATGTGCCCTGCCAGGAATTGGACAGTGTGTTTTGGGGTTGGGGGGCATAGGGAAGTGGAAATAATGGTACTTTTTTAAGGCCCTCAAGATATTTAACTGCCTCTATGCCACTACCACAGTCAACATGAAATGGGTCACTTTTTTTTTCTAATTTGAGATGCACCTACATCTAGTTATTGTACTGGTCAGACTTTCCTATATAAAAGAACCCTGTGGACAGAGTTAGCAGTAAAATGGCTAATACTGACAGTGGCCCTTCTTAAGGAATACGACGACCACCTCTAGGCTGTCTGCTTTTTCAGGCTGTCTGTAGATTCTAAAACTTCTCTCACGACCATAATAGCCAGAGGTTCCTTCTCCTGCCCCTCTTTTACATCCCAGCTAGAATTCTGAGTGTGTCCTAGTGCATGCAAATCACCTTACCTTCTGTTTCTGGATTTTGTTGTAGGTATTAGAGAAAGTGGATGTAGAGCAGAAAATGAGTATTCGATTTCTACACTGATGGATGGAGACCATTCCTCACTACCCCTAATATTTAAGGAATAGAACTTCACTTTCTCCCTAGCACCTTTCCCAAAAGTATTGCTACTGGTGCATGAAAAAATAAATCTCCAACCCCTCCCCAACTTGTTCCATCAATATGTACGTTCCCTGTGCGTAAGGAACAGAGGGAAGTGGCTGCAGTGCAGCTTGGAGTGGAGGATTTAAGTCCTTTCCCTCCTTTATTTCATATCCTTTATTCACCCTCTGCGTTGTTGTGTGATTCTGATTGTCTTCTTCCATGTACCCTTGCTGAATCTGTAAACCTAACACTAAGCTCTGAATCTGAGAAGGTAAGAGGTAGCAATTTTAACTTTTTTTTTAATGGAAAGTAGCTTACCGTGCAAAACCAACCTGTGTTCAAGCATTCCTTCATACATGTTAGGTGCCGACGTCCCATGGCAGTGTCAGACAGGGCTACTATTTTGTTTCTCCAGTTGCTTCTTTGTATCAACCTTTTTCTTCTCACCTGAGGCTGCTTTGAAGTCCTAGGACTGGGAATACCACGGCAGTTATGAGTTGCTTCAGATGATGTAAATGGATTGAATGGGCGTAATCTATGGGGATAAAGAGTCTGATAGATGTGAGTTGTTAGTGTTTTGAGGGACAACTTGAACTCTGAACAATGCTTTGTTGTCTTGGTACCAGATACAGAACTAGGGAGACAGAAGCATTTTTCCCTAGGTTGCTTTTCTGTAGGATATCTCTTTCCAGTGCTCTCTTGCTTCACTTTTTAAAAACTAATTAGTGCAGGTTTGCTGCCAGTGTTAATTCAAGAAAATAAGCCGTGCATAATGTTTGGCTTCATGACACTGTCGCTGTCCAGTGGCAATACTTAAATGAAACATCCTGTTGCTTTCATACTAATTGTGGATACCTGGGTAACTTGGATACTAACAGTTCTCTAACATCCATTCTCAGACTCAGGTCACTGGTTCTGCATAATGGGTGCAAGCTTAACTGCACTGGAATACTCATGAAAGCTTTATATGTGAGAATAGTGTTTTAGTGAAGTGCATAATGCATCCCAGATTAGTCCAAATAGTGATATTTAAGAATATATTTTGACACGTGGCATAAATCTTCATGCAATTACAGCAGAAATGAAAAACATGAATGCAACTTAAGAGCAAGACAAAATGCAAGGGATCAAAAGTGCTGAATGTATTCAAATATAGATCTCCAAATTCATCGCCTACACAGCATGCTTGCATGCAGCTATGTGGCTTAACAAAGGGTCTTCTAGTTAAGGTGGAGTGTTTTGAGTTGCCTAGGAAGTCCTTCAAGAAGGGGATAAAAAGCTGCTTTACTGAAAAATCAGTGTTAAAGTACTTACCCCACCTCTGCATAATGTGTTTCTAAAATAAATTTTTGTAAGTACATACTTATCTCTGCTAGCCTCAAATAGATTTCTTCGGTTCTCTTACTCAATCACTTGTATTAAAGAATGAATATCTGAGTCCCTGAAGGATTATTTGCTCTTAGTTAAGGAGTTGCAGAGGGAGATGTTGCACTATAATCTCTTTCGGACTGCAATATTGTAGGCTAGGCCAGAGAGAAATGCAAGTGAAATTTCTGCTCTGCACAAGAGAAACATTCAGGTTTTATGACCACATTATGTAAAATAGGAATGTGACAGTGTAGCAATTGTGAGGTACATGTTTTTTATAGGTGTTGTGATTTTGCTTATTTAAAAGTAGGTGTTGCTTTTTTCCTTCTGTGTAGGTGTAATCCACAGTTGTGCCTTATTGTCCCAGTGAGACTGGATATTTTATTTATCAATCCATAAATAAAGACCCTTCATTATAAAAACTGCCTGTGTGGATTCTCTATCCCAGTGGTCCTCGACCTTTTAAGGCTGCAGTCTGGATTGACCTAGTTTGAGTCGGACAGGTGGACACTGGGACTGAGCCTCAGTGGCACAAAGTAAGGGCTGCTGCAGCTTTCCAGGAAAAGCTACTGCAGCCAAAGTCCCCTGTTGCTGAATGCTACTGAAGCCTGGGCTCCACAAGCAGGATCAAATAGTTTTGTAGGCTGTATCTGGCCTGTGGGCTATAAGGTTGCAAACGCCTGCTCTATCTTATAGGGAACAGGGCTTATTAGCAGCTTAGTTGCCCTATAACTAAGGCCTGACTGCATGCTTCTGACAACCTGAAGTGATCTTTCTGCTGCTGGTAAAAATCCTACAGTGAATTAAAACAAACACGGAGTCATTCTATTCACAGTGTTTAAGCAGCTTAAAGTGGGAGAAGGTTTATGCAAAGCATTAGCTTCATAATAGGGTTACAGGGAAGTCTCTCTGTATTTACATAATCTCCTAGTGAGCTTTGTTTTCAGTTTCAAGATAGTCTCCCTATAGTTCTAAGCCATGTTCCTTGTCACTATGGCATTCCCATTTAGTGCTACTATCAAGTGCATCTTTTAGTTGGATAAATCATCAGTTTAAATGTTTTTAACTTACTTCAAGCTTAATTTATACCTGACTCATGCATCACTTTGTTTTAAGATCACATTGTTCCATGCATACACTTGAAATGTGAAGTTGGATTTGATCTTGCTGCAGGGGGGAGGGGAATATAGAAATCAAGCCTGACCAACCTGTCAGTGGACTAAGCAAGTCTAGCAATCTGGGAGAGGGGGCATGTCTTCCATGTTAATCTGAGACAAAACTATGGCTCCCCACAATACCAGTAAGGAGATGGCAAGCAGAATGGGAAGAATAATAAATGTTCACCCCATGCAAGTGAACTAGCATAACAGCAGAAATAAAGCTGCCTGTATACCCTTACATCAGGGATTTTTGAATGGAATGCTCTATTTTTGCCACCTCAAATCTAATGCAGTTTTTTAATGCAATATTTAAGTGGCTTAAAGACATGAAATGGAGTTTTTTCAATTAATCTAAGCTCCTACAAAGGTGTTTCACAATATAGGCAGATCTCAACAGAGAGAACATTTTGGCAAACATGCTTCTTTCCAGAAATGTTTTCAAACTAGAAACCTTCCAGGATGAATTGAGGTCTTATCTGAATGTTTCTATGGTGTGTCTTGCAAAACAGGACTTTAGGAAAGAACAGTCCCATGCACCGTACAAGTTGGGGGCTGATTGGTTGGGCAGCAGCTCTGCAGAAAAGGGCCTGGGTGTTGCAACAGCCAGTAAGCTGAATATGAGCCAACAGTGCCCTTGTTGTCAAGAAGGCTAATGGCATACTGGGTTGTGTTGGTACGTGTGTTGCCAGCAGATCAAGGGAAGTGATTATTCCCCTCTGTTCAGCATTGGTGAAGCCACATCTGGTGTTCAGTTTTGGGTCCCCACTATAAAAAGGATATGGATAAATTGGAGAGAGTGCAGTGGAGGGTGACAAAAGTGGTGAGGGGACTGGGGGTGGGGCATGCCTTATGAGGAAAGATGGGGAACTGGGCTTATTTAGTCTAAAGAAGAGGAGATGGAGGAGATTTAATAGCCTTCAACTACCTGAAAGGGGGGTTGAAAGAGGATGGCCCTAGACTGTTCTCAGTGGTGGTAGATGACAGAACAAGGAGCAACAGTCTCAAGTTGCAGCAAGGGAAGTTTAGGTTAAATACTAGAATTTTTTCAGTAGGAGGGTAATAAAATACTGGAACAGGTTATGCGGAGAGGTTGTGGACTCTCCATCCTTGGAGGTCTTTAAATTTAGTTGTGGCTGGTCCCGTTTTGAGCTGGGGGTAGACTAGATAACCTCCTGAGGTCTATTCCAACTCTAATTTTCTATGACTTGTAGCTCAGATGAGTATTTTCCAGCTTCCTGGTATGTAAGGATCACTTAAAACATAGAAGTATAACCTTTTAAAAAAGCAGGCTTTAAACTAACCCATCCTCAGCTAATTTAGGACTCCTGGGTACCTTTTTGACAAGGCCAGTGTTCAGTGGCTGTTGTAAAACCAGAAAAATGCTAGAATGCAGGAAGAGATGCACAAAGCTCTTGGGTCAGAGGTGATCTCTTTTATTAGACCAACAAAATAGTAGCAAGAAAAAATCCTTTTTTTGCAAAGCTTTCTGACATACACCCTTCTCCAAGCTGAGAATTCAAAGATTGTAAAACTCCTCCTAGGTCAAAAAAAAACTCTGTTTTGTGCTGGGGCGGTAGAGGCTGGAAGTGTATTCCCCAGAGTATCTGAGAGTTCATCTGCCAATATTAAAAGAGTAAACAAGCCAGCCAGCAGACCTGCTAACTTAATATCCATCCTGCACCAAGCAATGGAGTCACTGGTACTGAGTTCAGTTCCGTGTCGGCTTGAGGAAGCAAACAGATCTGTTCTCAGGGAGGGGGAGGCTGCAAGCAGGTTTGGAAAACCTTTGAGACTGCAGCGGTGCTGACAGGGGAGCTGTGGAGGTGAAACACACTTGTTACTCTGCGCTGCACGGCCGGGGGGGCTCAGCGGGGAGAGGAAATGGCAACTTGAGGGGATCATCTTAACTAGACTAAGAACTTGCTAACACTTCGGTATAGCTATAGGGGTTCCTAGCGGGTGCTCCTGGCCCCGGGCAAAATGCTCTTCTTTCAGGAGCTTGAGCGAAACAGGCGATCGGGCGGGGTTTAGTCGGTGGCCGACCTGCAAACTCTGCTGACGGGCTCCTTGCAACCCGACTTAACGCCGCCACGTCCCGCTCCGGTTGCAGGATCAAGGGGAGCGGGAGGGCTCGGAGGATCCTTGAAAGCGGGACCCGGAGAGGGGCAGCGCTGGAGACCCGCTCCTGCCCGACCTCAGCGCGCCGCTGCACCGAGACCCACGCCCCGGCCAGGCGGGGTGTGCATGGAGCGCCTCGCCCTCCGCACTGCGCAGGGCAGGCTCCGTATGTGTGCGGCCGCGGGGCCGACCAGGCGGACACTGTATCCTGAGGGAGGGGGAAGCGTGACCCCACCGCAGCAGGACGTCCCCTACAGAGCCCCCACCACCACCCTCCCGCAGCATCCGGGCCGCCACGCGCGCACGGCCCCTTTAAAAGTTGTCAGCTGCGTGGGCTGCGGAACCGGGGGCCTGGCGTTGTCACGCGCGCGAGCCAATCCCACCGCAGAGCGGCCGTCCCCGAGCGGCCAATCAGAGCGCAGAGCCCGGCAGGCGGGCGCCCAGCACTCATGACGGACGGGGCCGGCGGCCAATGGCTGTCGACGATGGAGCGGTGATGCTTAGGAGCGGCACCCAATAGGCTGGCGCTCCTGGTGGGCGGGCCCGGAGGCGCCGGGCGCTGCGGGCCCCCAGCTGGGCGGCCGAGGTGAGGAGGGGAAGATGGCGGCGTGAGAGGAAGCGGAGGGGGGAGCCGGGCCGGCGGCGGCGGCCCCGGCCGGGGCAGGTGAGTCGCGCAGGCGGAGTCTGCCGCTTCCCCGCGGACGCAGCCCGGCCATGCGGCTGGAGGTCGGTCCCGGCCCCGGCCGGCGCCGGTGGCCGGACCCCCGCCCCCATGTTGACTCGTTGGGTTGGGGGTGCTGCGCCGGGCTGACGGAGTGGAAGCCCTGCGGTCGCGGCAGGGCAGGGCACTCAGCGAGGGACTTGGCTCCCGGCTCAGGCTGCCCCAGGGTGACGGCACCCGGCGGGAGGGGAGCGGCTGGGAAGCCGGGGGAAATGGCAGGCCAGGGTGCCCCCCTCCACGCGCCTTCCTTGGAGCTAGGCTCTGGCTACCAGGTCTTCCAGCGGGGCGTCCCGGCTGCTTTGGCGCGGCACCGCCTGACTAAGTGAAAGCCCTGGAGGCTCGCTTAGTTACACCTGTGCCTCGGAGCAGAGAAGGCAGGGAGATGCACACAGATGGACACGCCAAAGTAGAGGGATCACAAGTGTCTGGGACAGCAGCGGCTGGCGCAGGTTTCACAGCATCTGATAAAGTGACTTTTTAGCTCATGGAAACTTGTGATATGTGTGTGCGTGTGCGCCAGACATGCGCATGCAGCAACACACATTCTCTCTCTCTCTCTCTCTCTCTCTCTCTCTCTCTAGTTAGTCGAAAAGGTTTGCACCTACCCTTCCTGCCACTTGACTTCAGGCGGACATGACTAGTTGTGTCTCTCTGCTCGACCAATAACATAGTATATAGTGCTCTTTGTGTTGCTTAGCTTTATAACATCATAGAAAAAAATAGGGTTGGAAGGGACCTCAGGAGTCTAACCCCCTGCTCAGAGCAGGACCAGCCCCAACTAGATCATGCTAGTTTCGTGATCCTCTGCTTACATATTCATTTTACTACAGAACTGTCCGTAGTTGTATAGTTTTGACTTTGCGCATGGTCAGAAGTAGCAGAAAGGTTTGGTAACTATAGAGCCGGACTAGCTGTATAGTTGGGAATGGAGCTAGATAAGCTTTCTGATGCGAGGCGTTCTTCAGGTCTGGCTGGAACAAGACAAGCATGAAATCTGTGCCTCTTACATCATTTCTGGACCATCATGGCTACAACATCATTGTTATGCTGCGACCATAATTACATGGGGGATTTTGATGATTACACTGTATGAATGTTAGTAGACAAAACAACCAAAAGTGAAATGGGTAACTGTGTCCTTCTACAATTCATTAGTTAAAATCTGTCTTAAAGCTATGATATTAAGTTGTCTGCACATTCAGGAATTCTTCACCTAGTCAATACTTTTAGTTCATATTATGAAGGTGTTCTGAAAGGAAATCAAATATGAAAAAATTGCAATTTTTTTCTTTTATCAAGGCTTTACATTCTGCTTCTGACGTTTCAAATTAAAGTTCTACTTTTGGCAAGAACTAACTGAGCACAAATTCCCTTTGTGTACACATACAACAATTTGATTCAACTTGTGTTATCAGTATGTAAATTTAAACTGATTAATATTTATACTTACCCGCCACAATTGCACAAGAACTGAGGAAAGTGAAAATCTTACAATCTTGTCTTCACTGTTGTCAGCCTTTTGGGATAAACACAGAGTTATAAGTTCAGATAATAAAGGTAATGTTGGTGTTTGGATGGCTCTGTAACTCCATATTTATTACTTTCTGACTTGCTTAGTATACAAAGCAAAGTTTATTTTCCTACTTACAGATACTGAAAATTTGCCACAGATGTGAAAATGAAGATTAAAGTAACTTTATATAAACACCATTCTTAAAAAATATCTTCAGTTGATGTTAGTTGAAAACTTGTGAATGATGTATAAGGCAGGATAGACTCTACCTCATTCCATCAGAGAACAAGAACAAAATCTTTTGATCAAAGAACCTAGAAAAAATTACAATAAGTGACATAAAAGCAAATCACTTGAGAGAGAAGCTGCCAATTTCCCCATGTTTGCTTTTTATCATATCTGCCTCAAAGCAGTATTTGTGGTAGAAGAGGAGAATCTGAATGGAAAATTAATACCAAAAACTACAGCTTAGTGCATTATAGTGAATGCAGCTCTGATGTATATTCTCTTAAATGAAAGATGAAGTTAAAGAATAGTTAAAATTGGTCTGTAAATGTAGTGGTTAAAAAGAAAATCCCCTAATTAATTCCTTAGCAACCTCTTGCTTAAAAAATACAATACACACACACGTGTGTGTGTGTTTTAAGCAAGAGGCTGCTAAGGTATTAATTAGGGGATTTTCTTATACATCTACATCTATATATTTGTCCTTTACCTATACCCTCCATACACTACCTTCAGGTGCTGATGTCTTGACATGCCTCCTCAAACCTATCTTAGTTCTAACTCCTAGATGACTCTGGTAATCCTGTTGT